GTTCAATGACAATTGGATTTGATAAATTTGTAAATTGTTGATATGATGTTTTTCCTTTGATTATTGTGCAAATGATGATCGTAAACATTTCGAAGTTTTGTCGTTGCGTTCAAGTTATAAACCCTAATGTAATGAGGGCTACCGCATCCCCTACAATTAATTAGAGTATCGTAATATTTTTTCAGGACCCATTCACGGGCGAGATGATGCTGGAGGGTGGGGCGCTAGTGCTGGCTGACCAGGGCGTATGCTGCATCGACGAGTTCGACAAGATGGCCGATACCGACCGCACTGCCATTCACGAGGTTATGGAGCAGCAGACTATCAGTATTGCCAAGGTAATGTGATGTTAGTTACATTCCGTTCAAGTGAACGAGTTAAATAAAATCTATGTAAATTTTTCTTCCTTGTAATTTTGAGGTGTAGGCGATATAAAACGCGTTCGTGAATGTTTACATTTCTAAATATCGATACGGAAAACGAACGAATATGTGCAGTCTTATGATAATGACACGAAATGTTACACATAAAGGCAAGACTGTTTCAAAGCACTTTGTTTAATGAATTATAAAGTTAATACCGTTTTAATTAATGCCTGTAAAGACGATGTCTACGATGACGATCTTCATTAGTGTTTTTGTTTCTTTCTCAGGCAGGTATAATGACTTGCCTGAACGCTCGCGTGTCCATCCTAGCAGCCGCTAACCCAGCTTACGGGCGCTACAACCCGAAGCGTACCATCGAGCAGAATATTCAGCTGCCCGCTGCGCTGCTTTCGCGTTTCGACCTCCTCTGGCTCATTCAAGACAAACCTAACCGGTAATTGTTTTATTTAACTTCGTATTGAAAATGTATACAGAAAATGTGGATGGCAGTAGAGTAACATTGATTTCGCCGTACATTTGTACTTCATCATGATTGGAAAAGTCCTCAAAACTGTGGTTTGAGTGATGTAGAGTTTCCTTACAGTGGCTAAATTTGTTAGTTGATACAAACTGCTAGTGGCAAATCGTCTTTTTTTTTAAATACTTTATTTTAAGCAAATTGCGTTGCGCACGTTCCAACTCGAGAAAACGAGTTTTAGCAACTCCAGCCCATACAGGAATACAATAAATCAATACAGATTGAACCAAACTCACGTATATTTCCTTGAGTATATCCCTAGACGACGAGACTCGTGGACCAACGACTGGTCCTGGCACTACATATCTTAGTGTTTTAAAAATCCAATTAAGTTTTCTTACTCTTTTTTTTTTATAATCTTTATTTCATAGGTAAGCATTATTACACTTGAAATCGTCACTATGGTTTTAAACTCTACCGCTCATTCGTAAGGCAGATTCCCCTGAGAAGAATGAGCAAGAAACTCTAGGGGTTGCTCTTTGTAAATAACATTTACAATATTTTTTTTTTATTTGAAACATCAGAGATCGAGACTACCTCCATGAGCTAAACGGGTTACTACCACGGATTTTTGTCATCCAAGTACGCAGAAGTTGTATAATAACCTTTAGTATAAAGTTTTTGTTTCACTATAGTTTAAAACCTCGTGAAAGGCAAATTTTGTATATCAACCGGAATCTTGTTATAGAAGCGTATACATTGCCCCTTAAATGATTTTTTGACTTTGTGAAGACTCGTATTAATGTTATGCCTGTCACTATTTTTCATAAATAAATTACTATTCCTTTTCACATAAATTACATTTTCATAAATGTACTGTGAGGCTAGTGTAAGAATGTTAATTTCCTTAAACTTATCTCTCAAAGATACTTTGGGGCCCAGATTGTAAATTGCCCTAACTGCACGTTTCTGCAGGACAAAGATTCTATTGATATCGGCGGCATTACCCCAAATCAAAATGCCGTATGTCATTAGACTGTGAAAGTAGCTGAAGTAAACCAATCTAGCGGTTTCGACGTCTGAAAGTTTCCTTATTTTTTTAATCGCGTACACTGCAGAGCCGAGCCGTTTTGATAACTTACTTATATGGGGACCCCATTGTAATTTAGCATCTAACGTTATACCTAGAAATACAACTGTATCCACAAGATTCAATTTTTCGTTTCTAACTACAATGTTTGTAACTGTCTCTCTAACATTGGGTAATGTAAATTTCACACAATTTGTTTTTTTCTTATTAAGAAGTAGGTTATTAACAGCAAACCAATCAACTACTTTAGATATAGTATTGTTCACATCGTCGCAGGAACATTGGTGCCTTTTAACTTTAAATAATAAGGAAGTATCATCAGCAAACAATACTATCTCATGTTTTATACCCTCCATAAGGCTAGGTAAGTCATTAATATAAACTAAAAATAAAAATGGGCCTAGAATTGAACCTTGAGGGACACCCATGCTAATTGCAGATCCTGACGATCTCGTACCGTTAACATCGACCCTCTGTACCATACCACGCAAATACGATTTAAGAAGGTCGAGATCACGTCCTGCCACACCATAATGGCAAAGTTTCCTGACTAGTGTATCATGGTGCACACAATCAAAAGCTTTGGAAAGGTCACAGAATACACCAATAGCATCATGTGAGACTTCCCATGCATCAAATATATGATTAATCAACTCGACACCAGCGGTTGTAGAGCGACCCCGAGTGAAACCAAATTGTTTAGGAGACATTAAGTTATTACTATAAAAATGTGCACACATCTGATTTAGAATAATTTTTTCAAATATTTTACTGAGAGTTGGTAGTATTGATATAGGTCTGAAATTGGTGGGGTCAGAAATACTACCAGATTTGAAAAGTGGAATAACTTTACTTTTGCTTCATGAGGTCAGGAAAGACACCATCATCAACACTAAATGTGTTGTTAAAGACACAGGCTAAATAAGGCGCAATACAATCAACTATAGAACTAATTACTCTGACTGAAAGACCATCAAGATCAGCAGTATTTTTTATGTTTATAGACTTAAAGGCTTTAACAATATCGTTTGGAAATACATGACGGAACCTTAAATTAGTGATACTAACTGCATCATTTTCTTTTAGTAAGGATTCAGCGGCGGTACGAGATGAATTTAACGACTTAGTAGTCAAAATTGGAATGTCAGTAAAAAAAATTTCAAATATTTTAGCAACTTCTGCGTCTGTGTTTACAATTTTGTCATTAAATCTTAGTTGAAAATCTAAGTTACGAGGTTTGACCCTTCCAGTTTCGCTGTTTATAATATTCCAAGTCGTTTTTACTACATTCGCGCTGCTTTTTATTTTATTATTTATAAACATTGCGTTGGCTGCAACACAAACACGTTTAAACATTTTCGAATATTTCCTAACAAAATCATTAAAACTGTTACTAGTGTTATAAGTCCTTTCATCGTAAAGATCATATAGTCTTTTGTGAATTCCCACAGTCGCCCAATCACTAAATTTCAATGAATTATTAATTATGATTTTGGACCTAAAAACGTTATCACGTTCACTTTTGACTATGTTGAAAACTGAATTATACAATTTATTGGGATCGTTAACGTACGGGAGTTCAGTTAGTTTACATTATTTCTAAGCATTACATTATTTCTATAAGCTTTAAGTCTACCATTATTTATCGGAACGCATGTGATATCCTTTTTTGGCATTTTGTCAACAGTTATATTAAAAGTGGCCAATTGACCGCAGTGATCAGAAGTTAATTTATTTATAATAGATTTATTACTAGGTACGGCGTTAGTATAAATATTGTCTAAACAAGTGGCAGTAGTAGAAGTTATTTTAGTAGGCACCAAGAAAATATTCACAAGATTATAACATTGGAAAAATGATATGAGCCTACTGCTAGCACTGGAATCTTCTAATAAGTTAACATTGAAGTCACCACAAACAGCAATATATTTATTTGGATTATTTAATTTGCCTAAAACTTCATCTAATCTTTTTTCAAATAGTTCGTAAGATGAATGAGGGGTCTATACACGCTTAATATAACAAGCCGTTCAAGCTCTATGCAGGATATCTCTATAGTCCGCTCAATAGATAGGCTCACAATATCTGTACGTTCTTTAAATTTTTAATTATTTTTAATAAGAATTAAAGAGCCGCCATGAATAGCTTTTTCTCTGCTGAAATGTCATGTTCGAGGTGTGGATACCACGAGAGTCGCTGGTCCACAAGAACACCCAAATATTTTGATTGCGCAACTTTAATCATGGAAGTGCAGTTACTGATGTTACCTGTGGTTTTTTGAAATATGAATCTTTAAGTCAACATTATTTTTGGGCTGAGTATCATTATTTATACTAAAACAGATGTAGTTTGTTTTATTAGTATTTAACGTAAGAGAATTGTTACTTAACCATCTGTTTACACGCTCCAGTCCCCGTTCCGCACTAGACTTCAGAGTATCCCAAGAATTATCAGTGAATACAATGGCTGTATCATCAGCATAAGAGAAAATATTAGCGTTCTTGATCTGTATATCACATAGGTCATTTATATATATAAGAAAAAGCGTAGGACCAAGATCGCTACCCAGGGGGGCGCCATACAAAACCTCTTCGCACCCACTGATTTGGTTATCTAATTTCACTGTTTGCTTCCTATTTGTCAAGTAATCAGTGAATATACAAAGTGGAGTACCGCTTATACCTATCTTTTCTAATTTATATACCAGTATGGAGAGAGATACGGTGTCAAACGCTTTTTTTAAGTCCAAAAATACTTACAAACGTTTCTTACGTTTGTCAAGTTTTTCTGTAACCAGAGAACTCAAGGAGATTACTGCATCCTCCGCATATCTTCCACGTTGAAAACCAATTGGTTTACAGACAATATATTGTTTTTATTTAAATAGACTAGTAATCTTTTATTGAGTAATTTTTCCAGTATTTTAGATATCGCTGATAATACAGATATAGGCCTGTAATTATTGACATCGTCTATGTCTCCGCCCTTATACACAGGAGTTATAGTTGACAACTTAAGAAGTGTCGGAAAAACTCCTTTGTCCAAACAGAGGTTTGCAGCATAGGTAATAATGAGAACAACTACGGAATTTGCAGATTTTAAAAATGCTGTAGGGATATTGTCATAGCCTGGCGCACTACTCGATTTTAGGTTCCTAATTATACAGTTTACTTCATCTTCGTCAGTATGCAGAAGAACGAAGGAGTTGATTTGTGTTGGTAAGTTTTAGAGATAAGTTTTCAGTTCATCATTCAGTGTTTGTATTTGCTGAGCAAACTGCTTGTCAATATTGACAAAAAACTTATTTACATAATCCGCAGAGGCAGAGGGAGTCAATTTCAAATTCGTCAGTTCTGTGTTGGTGGATTTATTGTTACTAGTATACGTAATATTTTTCCATAATAGTTTATTATTTTTGACTGAATTATTTAATATTTCTTTTTCGTAGTTTCTTTTTAGCTTCTTTATAAGAATATTACAGTAATTTCTGTATCTATTGTAGATTTGTTTGTTATATTCATCAAATGGATTACTACGGCATTTTTGTTGAAGTTTATTTAGGGTTCTAATACAACGTAGGACACTCGGTGTGATCCATGGTTTTATTATATTATATCTACGTTCTTTTTACTTGCCCTGTACTGTTATTTTGCCTGTGCGTACAGCGAAAAGGATCTAGAACTGGCCAAGCACATTGCGTACGTGCACCAGCACTCTGCGCAGCCGCCGACTGAGACGCGCGCCCTGCCCATGCGACTCGTGCGTCGCTATGTCGGGCTCACCAAGCGCAAGCACCCTTTCGTGCCGCAGAACCTCGCTGATTATATCGTGTGTAAGTTTCTTAGTCAACATAACTGTCCTTTACCATGTACGAGTATGATGCGTTACGAAGTGTCTTCGTAAAGACTGCACATTGAAAAATTTTTTCGTTACAATTTGTGGATAACATCTACAAATTGGAATAAAAAACTGCTTAATGGCCAATATTTAAGCAAATTTAAATTTACAACAATATTGGATCTCTAATGTTATTTATTTATTTTTTATTATCAGCTCATAAAACTGGATACAAGTTCTTAATTAAAATATGTAGGTTCTTAGTATAATCGGTCGAAAATCCATGATATTTTTGTTTACTATTTCAGCATCATATGTAGAGCTGCGCCGGGAAGCGCGCAACGCACGTGACGTAACATTCACATCGGCGCGAAACCTGTTGGCAATACTGCGTCTGTCTACGGCGTTGGCGCGACTGCGGTTATCCGATGTCGTGGAGAAGGAAGACGTTGCGGAGGCTATACGACTCGTGGAGATGTCGAAACAGTCATTGCAGCATATTGATGAGAACGTGCAGAGGTTCGTACGCCTCACTATTTTATCACAAGTCAAACAAACCACACATTAGAGATTTTTTTTCAATAATGTGATGTATATTTATAACTGTAAATTTATTCACGATGTAGACTAAATTATTACAACTATATGGTTCCATTTTTCTTACACTGGTTATGTTGGTGTTGGTCGGATATTATATTAATATTAGTATCAGAAATGTCAAAGTGCATAGTGCCGTGTTAAAACTGAAGTACGTTGCAGGGGTATCAGCTCTACAGATCGCATCTTCGCGATCGTGCGTGATTTGGCGGGCTCCAACAAGACGGTGAAGATCGCCGACGTCATTGAGCGCTGCGTCGACAAGGGATTCAAGCCCGATCAAGTTTGTTTCTGTTTTTTGACATTGTTTTTTGAATAATTATAATTTTATTTATTTATAAAATTATAATAGTGCTGACTGCTTTATTAATTTTGAGTTATACACCGTAATGTTGGTAGAATTAGAAAATTCAACTTTTTATAGATCCGTTTGTATTCCCCAGGTGGATGCATGTATCGAGGAGTACGAAAATCTTAACGTTTGGCAAGTGAATCAAGTTCGGACAAAGATCACATTTATGTGAAACCACATTATTATGGTATATGTTACAATTTAAGGAACCAGTGTGCCTGATAATGTTCATTGTTTAATTTCGAATCTTATGTTGTGTGACTGAAATAATAGAATATTTTTATAATTTGATAAGTAATAGAATTTTCAATAAATACGTTTTTCGCTAACAATGTTCTTTGTTTATTTATTAAAATACTTGCTTTAAAAACACGTTTTTATATATAGTGTTTTGTACAAATAAATGAATTATTATTATTATTATTATTACATAATTTTCATAGCTATCCACTGTAACAAGCCCGGGCTATCAAAACCTAGAATTTAGGTCCTAGACTAACTCTGCTTATGTAAACAAACATTTTACAAAATAGAATTAGTAATTTATTGGCGGGTGTAAACGTCGGTTTGTTAACGAGAGCGGTAGGAGGAGGTGGGTAGCGTGCGACATTGGGTGTCCTCCAGACGATAATTAGAAATTCCTTGAGTACGAGTAAATATTGGTAACATTTTCGTTCGTTCGTGCCAGATTTTGAACTGCTAGAATTTATGGAGATATTTTGTTTGCCATCATGAATCAAAGAATCGAGAAATAAGCGTTCTTTTTCGACTTTTTTAATAAGCTTACATAATCTATCGAGCTCCATGTCACTAGTCTAACTAAATACCTGTTACCTGTTGTAAACAACAGTTATTCGTAATAGCGTAGGAGACTATGTACAAACAATATAAAACCTTTAGTGATCTGTATATTTGGGGGAAAAACCAAGAGTTGAGATTGCGAAAGTTCAAAGGTGAATTGCCCGTTGAGACGGTACAGTGCTGCATTTTGCCGCATCAGTAAAAGGTAAATTGTTTCCTATCCGGCGATAAAAAATTTGATAGTCGTAATCGCAAATCTTTCCTTTCAGATCTTTGCAGAAAAAGTAAAAACACAAATTAACTTAATATCGATACCGCCAATGAACACTAAGCCAACTTAATTTTTGGACCTGTTCTGTTTTTATTTTTTTATTTTTTTTCTCAAAATTCGAGGAGCATAATTTTAGTAAATAAATGGGGCTATTTACAAAAATAACAGTAACTGACCAAAAAATACAATTGACGTAGTGTTCACTGGAGGTACCGATATTATATTAAAATTAGTCTTTTAAATTTGTTTTTCGTCGCAATATTTATTAAATCAATACAATTGTTAAAACAATGGAAACACTACAAATATTTTTATATGGAAAGATCCCATATAAAAATATTTATGATTAACAAAGCATTTCGCCGCGGGTGGGAAACGAGGCGGGCAGGTAAGCTCAACTTTTGGCAATGATTGATGCGGCGCGGAAACTCGCCGTACGTGCTGAGATATTTCCTTTTCATCGCTCGAGAGTGCCATTCTTATGCTGGGATACGTTCTTGAATATTTTAATGCCCTGGGTAAAATTACGTAACGTCATAACAATATGTATAGGGACGTATGTCTACATTCGCCACAAAGTAATACAATAATTTTAAAGGAAAACTTGATGTAATTTTAGATCGACAAGCGCCGATGTAACTTGTAAATGTCAGCATTCATATAAACGTAAGCTTCTACATATTACATGTCGAGGTATTTTCTTACCGTGGTCGAAGCAACAGCGACGTGTTAGTTCCATTGTTCAGTCGCCGCTACATTTTGTACAAAATTCGCGTTATGCTCTTTTATTCTATTTCGGACAAATTCAAAAATATCTTGGTGACAAAATAATATGAACCAAAAATTCTGTGGGTGTTTTGAGAAAACATATTGCGCGTAGGCAAATAAAATTAATAAATAATAAATAAATATGTATGTATGTATTGCAGTTAGCTAATTTCGTAAATATGAATTTTTTTAGAAAAATACAGATCTCGGCTATAGGAAGACTTAGGAATCACATCGGGGCGTAACATAATATTAAGACAAACAAAGTTTTATGTTATTTTATATGAGCTCGGTGAGAGCAATGAATTTGAAATACTTTAGGTAAACCCGCGAAGCTTTTACGCCAAAGTTATTAAGTTTTTGAATTCGTCCTTTTGAATAAGAGAGCTGTATTCATTTTACTATGCAGTAATATACTTAAGATATTTCAATAGCAATGTTTAAAGCAATTTAAATATGTAGCTATTTGCTTAAATCCCTTCTCCCTAAATCCCACAGGCAATAATTTTTGTGTATTAAATAAAACAACGAATGAAAAAAATTAAAATTACTTTATTATTATTTATTTATTATTCTGTTAAATAAGTAAGGTAATTTCGAAGGAAATATGAATAATAATATATTTCAGATAAGTGCATCCATAGAATTGTTAGTAACATTTGGTACTTACAACTATATTAATTAATACCTAATAATAATCTTTTAAGTCTTAAGAGAGGCGAGAGTCTAAAATAGATAATAATAATGATAATGAAATTTATTTATCTACCTACTACATATAACCAGGTCCACCCAGAACTCCAGGATGGAACAATTATATTTATCGGCAACTACCTTCAGAATCCCGTTTTGACTACCTCGCAAACCGCTCAACAGAGACAATCCGGTTCCGTCAAATGGCAGAAAAGTCATCAGTACGTTCCTCGGCGACCATTTCTGAAGCGCTGCAATGACGCGAGAGCCCCAACAGCATTTTCAAGGCATTATTGTAGCGGACGCAAAGGGCATGGTATGCCTTTTGAGTGTAATTGACCCACACATTGCTCCTATAAAATACTCGACAGAAAGCCTTGCAAACGGTAATTTTGCCTTGCTTAGAGAAACGAGCAAACCTACTATACAACATATTACTCCACACTACCAGTGCCCTCCGTTCCCGTTCGATATCGTTACTGCGCGTGCAAAACTGCGGAAGAGCAGTTGGTAAATATCGCGTAACAGCAAAAGGTACAAAACTGAAATATCGCGCCAACAGATCCTTAACGCTAACTCGCCTAAGCTAGATCTCACAGAATTTAAATTAGTTTCTAAGAAACCTCATTTTTGCCATCGAAACAATACCGCGAAACAGTAGCATTGCTGAAATTGGCCGCAAGTCCGCATATTTACCATATTAATGAAAAAGTTATAACACGATCTCTGCACGAAACCTATGACTAGGAGAACTAAGAAATCAAATTCATCAAGACGAAGTAATGTTAAAATTTATTATTTGAAAGTTAACGATAAAAAGGAAAATAAATGGAGACATTCGGGCATCGGTATGAATATATCACGAAAAGTCGAAGTCAGCTCAAAGGAACTCCGTTTTGTTGAGAATAGATACGCCTGCGCTTTGGTAGCGTTAAAATTGACAAGATTGGCATCGCCCCAATCGGAGACTGCCTGGAGTGTCAAATCAAAACGGCTAACCATAGACTCTCGACAAGACTGATATCCTCTCCGCTGAGATAGGTACTTGCACTGGTCAAGTACCTATCTATCTACAACTGTGCTGTCATCAGCATACGCAAAGGAATTAACATATCATTGATATGCAGCAGAAAGAGAGTTGCAGACAGTACGGAACCCTGAGGAACTCTCTATCTGTCGCCGTATGTTCGGAAGAGTAGCCTTCTAAGACCACTCGAATCGTACGTTCACTCAACAAATCCGAGGTCCAATTACAAAGGTCAGTGGGAAGCCCATAAGAGGGAAGTTTACTTAAAAGGCTTGCGTGCCAGACCCTGTCAAAAGCTTTAGAAATGTCTAAAGACACTGCAAGTGCCTCGCCTTGCTGTTCTATAGCCTCGCTCCATATGTGACAGGCATAAACAAGAAAATCCCCAGTAGATCGCCCTCGTGGGAATCCGTACTGGCGATCACTAAGGAGGTCGTTGTCTTCAAGGTATGACATTAGACGGTTGTTGAGTACACGTTCCATAGTCTTGCAGAGTATGGAAGTGACTGAGATAGGTCTATAGTTGACAGGGTCAGCTCTGCTTCCCTTTTTCGGCACAGCTTGCACGTTTACAAGTTTCCTCGACCTGGGAACTACACCAGTCTCAAGTGAGAGGCGGTACAGGCGGGTGAGAACAGGACATAACTCAGGCGCACAGTTATGCAGGACTATTGCTGAAAATCCATCTGGCCCGTTAGCTTTATTTATGTCTAAATTTCGCAGAGTTCTAAGTATCTCTTTTTGACGGATGCGACCTGGCGACATAGTGCTGCCAGCCTGAGGTAAAGTAAGTGGTAGGTTCCCTGCGGCATCCAAATGCGAACTCTCTGCAAAGAGTGAGGCAATAAGATTCGCCTTCTCTTCCGCAGTATGAGCCAGCGAACAATCTGGCCTCAGCAGAGGTGGCAAAGATGAGCGACAAAAGTTAGATTCGACCGCTTTGGCCAGGGACGAAAAGGATTTGCTGCCTGCTGGATAAGAGGCAAGCTTGGCCCCTATGCGGCGCACATGGTCGAACTTAGTCCTACGTAACACACTTCTTGGCGGCCTTATTAAAAGCTTTCTTCAAATTTCCAGTACTCGAAGCTATGCGCGGTCGATTATCTGCCCAAGCTTGGTACGCGGACTGCTTACGTGTTTCAGCACAACTACAATCAGCGTAAAACCATGGAGGAGCTTGGGGTCCATTAGGTACATCAGAATATGGTATGTAACACTCCATACCCAAAGGCAAAACCTCGACTACAGCATCAGCACAGTTCGACGAGTCTCCTGAAATAAAGCACGCCTGGCAGGAGTATGACGCAAAGTCATGTGCATCAGCTGTGTATAGTCTTAGGGTCGTATTCTAGAACTCTACTCAATGCTCAAGTCAGGATTGCACTGGAAACAAGCACTGGAAATACGACCGTAATGGCAGGGACTTGAGTATGATTTTCAGTGCTCACTGCAATACTAAAGTCCTGACTTGAGCATTGAGTAGAGTTCTGGAATACGACCTTAGGACTATGGAAATTATTTTTTGCCATCCTCTAAGATTATAGTGGGTAATATCATAATAAAAAAAAATGGGGTGGCGTGGCTTCAGAGCAAGACACTACCTTTTAATTATATTTGTGCAAGACATTTAACAAGATTAAGCTGCTGTTATTTTCAGAGGACTTATGAGACTGTTTTTTTTTGTTATTCTTAATTGCACATATTTTCAAACTACAAACTTTAATAACATTTTAAT